AAAAAAAAAAAAAAAACTGGATTTGGTTTAGATGATTTTGTCTTGCTGTTGGCTAATGTAAGTGTTCTGAACACATTTGAGGTAGGCTGTGCCCGTGAGGTCAAGGCTGCAGTGAGCCAAGATCGTGCCACTGCACTCCAGCCTGGACAACAGAGTGAGACCCTGTCTCAAAAAAAAACAAACAAAAACATAGGCTATGATGTTCGGTAGGCTAGGTGTATTAAATCCAATTTGATTTAGGATATTTTAAACTTACGATGGGGTTTTTGTTTTGTTTCATTTTGTTTGTGTTTTTGTCTTGTTCAGTCACCCAAGCTGAGTTCAATGGTTCAATCTCGGCTCACCGCAGCCTCTACCTCCTAGGCTCAAGTGATCCTCCTGCCTCAGCCTCTGGAGTAACTGTGACTACGGGTGCACGCCATCACGCCCAGTTAATTTTTTATTTTTTGTAGAGACAGCTTTCACTATGTTGCCCAGGCTGATCTCGAACTCCTGGGCTCAAGCAATCCTCCCACCTCAGCCTTCCAAAAGTGCTGCCATTACAGGTGTGAGCCACTGTGCCCAGCCTTACGATGGGTTGATAGAGATGGGACCCCATCGTTAAGTCAAAGAGCATCTGTACTTATATCTAGATTCTAAAGCATAGGTACCCTTCTTATTATTTCATAATAATTAAAATAGTAGATGGCTTTTATTGAGCACCTATGATCTACAAGATATAACCCTTATCACAAACTCTTGAGGTCAGTATCGTCATCCTCATTTCATAGAACATCAGCTCCTTCTGGCCTTGGGTGCCACTGTGTCCCTGGCATCTGGGACAGAACCTGGCACACAGCACAGGCACGGTCGATATTTGGTAAGTGAAAGGATAAAAGAGTAAACAGAGGCACAGAGAAACTAAGTGGTTGCTTAGGTTTCTTTTGTTGTGATTGCAAGCACCCTCATGTGTGCCTCTTGGTGCACGCCTGTCTGTGCATCCAGTCGTGCTGGATCCTCTGCTCTGGAAAACTCTGGAGTAGAATCAAAGAAGGCTGGCCGGGCACAGTGGCTCACACCTGTAATCCCGGCACTTTGGGAGGCTGAGGCGGGTGGATCACGAGGTCAGGAGATCGAGACCATCCTGGTTAACACAGTGAAACCCCGTCTCTACTAAAAATACAAAAAATTAGCCGGGCGCAGCGGCGGGCGCCTATAGTCCCAGCTACTCGGGAGGCTGAGGCAGGAGAATGACCTGAACCCAGGAGGCGGAGCTTGCAGTGAGCCGAGACGGCGCCACTGCACTCCAGCCTGGGTGACAGAGCGAGACGCTGTCTCAGAAAAAAAAAAAGGCTGAAGGTTCTTCCTTCCTGAACATCCATCTTCTAGGATTCCTCCCTCACGACCCGGTGATCAGCCTCCTTCCCAGAAAAGCACAAATATGCTCACCAGAACACACGTGCCGGAATATTCACAGCAGCCCGAGATGAGAAACCGTCAAATGGCCACTCACAGCAGAATGGATAAACACATCATAGAGTGTTCACCCTGTGGAATATTCTACACGGTGAGAATGAACAAACACCACGCAAGAATGTGGACGGATTTTGTGATAGAACATTGAGGGGGCTAGGCACGGCGATTCATGTCTGTAATCCCAGCACTTTGGGAGTCCGATGTGGGAGGATCACCTGAGGTCAGGAGTTCGAGAGCAGCCTCTCCAACATGATGAAACCTCGTCTCTACTAAAAATACAAAAAACAGTTACGGCCAGGTGCAGTGGCTTACGCCTGTAATCCCAGCACTTCGGGAGGCCGAGGTGGGTGGATCACCTGAGGTCAAAAGTTGGAGACTAGCCTGACCAACATGGTGAAACCCGTCTCTACTAAAAATACATAAATTAGTTAGGTGTGGTGGCGGGCACCTGTAATCCCAACTACTCAGCAGGCTGAGGCAGGAGAATCACTTGAACCTGGGAGGCGGAGGTTGCCATGAGCCAAGATCGCGCCACTGCACTCCAGCCTGGGCGACAGAGCAAGACCCTGTCAAAAGAAAGAAAGAGAAAAGGAAAGAACGAGAAAAGAATGGGAATCGCTGAGTGAAAGGGCTTGCTCGCTACGCATGCTACAGTTCGGTGGATTTGCCGGAAGCTGCAGGAATTCCTGCAGGTTTGAGAGAGGCTGTTTCCCTTACACCTGTGTGTGAAAAACCATTTGGGCCGGGCATGGTGACTCACGCCTGTAATCCCAGCACTTTGGGAGGCCAAGGCGGGCGGATCACCTGAGGCCGAGAGTTCAAGACCAGCCTGATCAACATGGAGAAACCCCATCTCTACTAAAAATACAAAATTAGCTGAGCGTGGTGGCGCGCACTTGTAATCCCAGCTGAGACAAGAGAATCGTTTGAACTGGGGAGGTGGAGGTTGTGATGAGCCGAGATGGCACCACTGCACTCCAGCCTGGGCAACAAGAGTAAAACCCCGTCTCCAAAAATAAAAAAAAACGTTTAGATCCTTTGATAAGAGCTTTGCTGCTGGGCTGCCCAAGTTAATTCCAAGAGCCCAGGACTCTGACGTGCATTCCAGTGTGGCCATAATGAGACTGCACTTCTCCAACTCTAGTTCTGCTTCCCAGATTCTGAAAGTAACGATTCCAGGAAGCCAGGATCATGCAATCTCTCTCCCTCCTTCCCGCCCTTGTTGCCTCCATCCTTACCGTCTCTTCCAAGAGGGTCCCCACGTGAGTCAAACGCCACTTGGGAGCGCAATCTGGGCCCACAGCCAGGACCCAGGAGGTCTGGGGTCTCTCCCTGCCGTGTCTGGCAGCTGGTAGAGTCCTGGAAATCCGTCCTGTTTGCCAGAAGCTCCTGCCGGACGCTTCTGATCACTGCCACCTCACTGGTCCCAGTAAATCTTTATAAGCAGTACAAACTAGGAGTGGCCTCGTCTCACTCTCAGGGTGTGTTTGTCCTGTCTTCTTCCCATGACTCAGAACACAAAATTACGGGGCGGCTGGCAGGGCTAGAGAGGGCTCGTGGGTGGAGGGCTGATCCCAAGTCCCCAACCCTAGTCTGGAAGTCCCAGCTTCCCGGAAGCCAGACCTGCACGCGGTTTGCTCTTCAACCCCTTAGAGGTCTTGGCCTGGATTTCGTTTTCCCCGCAACATGCCAGCTGCCCCCAGCCACCTCCAGGCCTCTCTTACTGTGCTCAACCCCTCCCTCCTGCAGCCTCAGGACAGACAAACGTCCCTCCGTCCTCCTTGGCTCTGAGGAAAGCAGCCTGGGGTCACATTCTCCACAGAAAGACCGCTGCAGTTGAGCGCAGGGCCCACGGCCTCAGTGGTAGAAAAAGCACAAACAGCTCCTTTCTTGGGCCTCGATTTTCCATCTGTAACATGGGAAGATGTTGTTGGCCATAGTGACACCTTACTTTTTTTTTTTTTTTTTTAATCTCAAAAAAGTTTTGCAATGGTCTGTTCTCTTCAGAGTGCTTCATCTTGATTAAACTTGCCTGATCCGGCCACAAGGTTCGTCATCACTCTTTTAATCCCTGCCTGAGGCAAGGATGGCTCCAACGTGTAATCTTTGCCATCTTGAGAGCCGAGGTGTGAGCTGCTTGGATGGCTAGGATTTTGGAGACCAGCCTGGCCAAACAAGTGGTACTAGGAACTCTGGACGGAGTCTCCACTCTGTTCGCCCAGGGCTGGAGAGTGCAGTGGCGTGATCCGGCTCACTGCCAAGCTCCCGCTCGCCAGGTTCAGGCCATTCTCCCTGCTCAAGGCCTCTTGAGTATCTGGGACTCCAGGGCCGTGCAACCACGGCCCCGCTAATTTTTGTATTTTTTAGTAGAGACGGATTTCACCGGTTGCCGAGATGGTGCTCAACCTCTTGGCTTGTGATCCCGCCTGCTCGGCCTCCCAAAGTGCTCGGAGATTACGGCAAGTGAGCCAACTGGTGCCCGCGCCAGAGGTAATATTTTAAAAACTTTTGTAGAGATGGGGTCTGTCTCTGTTGGCCTAGGTCTGGCTCACATTCCTGGGGTCAAGCAATCCTCCCTACCTTGGCCTTCCAAAGTGGCTGTGATTACACGTGCAAGCCACAGCACCTGGCCTCCAGAATTTGTTTTTAATTAAGCCAGGGGCTGTTGGGAGCAAGCCTGTAGTCCCTGCTATCTGGGAGGCTGAAGTGGGAGGTGGAGGCTGAGGAGGGAGGATCGCTTGAGCTCAGGAGGTCAAGGCTGCAGTGAACTATGAATGCACCACTGCACTCCAGCTTGGGTGACAGAGAGAGACCCTGGCTCTAAAATAATTTAAAATTTTAGACAAAAATTGCCAAGGCATGGTGGCTGACACCTGTAATCCCAGAACTTTGGGGAGCCAAGGTGGGCAGATCCTGAGGTCGGGATTTCAGACCAGCCTGGACAATATGGAGGGAAACACAGTGTTACTAAAAAACAAAATTAGGTGGGGATGGTGGCACATGCTGTAATCCCGCTATCGGGAGGGCTGAGGCCAGGAGAATGGCATGAACCTGGGAGGCGGAGTTTGCAGGAGTGGAGATCGTGTCATTGCACTCCAGCCTGGCAACAAGCGCCAAACTCCGCCTCAAAAAACATTTTTTTTTTTTTTTTTTTTTTGAGACAGAATCTCGGCTCTGTCGCCCAGGCTGGAGGCAGTGGCCGGATCTCCACTCACTGCAAACTCCGCCCTCCCAGGTCATGCCATTCTCCTGCTCCAGCCTCCCGAGTAGCTGGGACTACAGGCGCCCGCCACCACGCCCGGCTAATTTTTTGTATTTTGTAGAGATGGGGTTTCACCGTGTTAGCCAGGGATGGTCTCAATCTCCTGACTTGTTGATCTGCCCCCTCTCGGCTCCCCAAATGGCTGGGATTACCAACGGTGAGCCACCAGCGCCCCAGCCAAAAGATTTTTTTTAAGTGTCTTAAGATTTGAGGCTGGGCACAGTGGCTCACGTCTGGTAATCCCAGCACTTTGGGAGGCCAAGGCAGGTGATCACCTGAGGTCAGGAGTTCCAGATCCACCAGCCAACATTGTGAAACCCCATCTCTACTGAAATACAAAAAAAAAAATTGTCCAGGGCCTTTGGGTGG